CCAAATTACGGAAGTGAATCTGCAAGTTCCTGGTAACATTCCAGCTGACCAAATTTTGCAAATAGTTGTTCATATGTTGCCTATTTGTGTGAGCAATATAATGTCAAAAGGGAAAAAAACAAAATTGCTATTCACATATTGGCATGCTATCATTGCTGCTTCCTTCTTGAGTTCTGTTGTTCACATAGTTAGTGGCTTGTGAGGAGAGAACCAGTGGGAATTCGATCAGGCTCATGCCTGTTTTCAGGGTCAGCATTATTTCACAGCAAAATTGTGTATTTCTTCTCCTGGATGCAGCATTCATATATTTAGTCCTCATAAATCCCATTCAAGTCCATGCTGGTTTCCTGTTCACTAGGCAGTGTCCTTGGCAGGAGCACTGCTGGAGACAGGCACACCTAGGAACATGTCCTGGACCTTTGAGCTACTCCAGTGATGTCATCTGCCTTAATAGAAGACTGCCCCTTCCTCTGAACTCAATAGCCTTGTGCTGACTAGGAAACCTTGGGACTTACTTTCTTAGCAGAGTAACAAGGGGTATAACATGAAGGCAGGAGCTTTCTAATCTATCAATGACAGTGCTACCTTTTCTTCAACAATCTTCTCATTGTTTTTTCTTGCAGCCCTACTTTGCTTTTTTACATGTTCATTGCAAGTTGCTTGCTTGCAATGAAAATCTGAAGATAGGGATTACAGGAAGAGTTTACTGTGGAAAATTACTATTTCACAAGAATCTGATTTTACCCCAAGCTGGAATATTTGACTGATACAGAAGTGGCTTCAGCACAGAAAATAATTTAATTAGCTTCTTCCCCCTTCTTTATCTTTGCTTTCTACCACATGGCTGCAGGCAACAGGTTGTGCCAAAGGGACATCATGTTTCAGGAAGGACAAGTGACATTTCATGCAGTGTCTCATTGCTCTCCCAGCAGAGTAGAACTTTTCAATACGTTTTTATGGTTTAAGGAAGGAAGGAAATGCTCTCAGCCCCTTGTTCATTCATTTTATTTATATACTACCCAGAAGCTCAAGTTCTTTGGATAGTTCTACAAAAATTAAGTCAAACTACCACATAATGAAATTGCCTCATCTCATAAAGTTCATTAAGGTATGTTGCACCCTCCCAGCCCCTCTAACTCATTTCAAATTTCTCTGAAGTTCTGCTCCTCTGAAAGAAGTTATTTGCCACATTCGGCACTCTTCCTGCTTCCATCTCTTTTTCTTTTCCTCCTTTTTCCTCCCCATCTTTTTTCTTTTCTTTATTCTGTCTTGAGCAGGGCTCCCAGACTTTGTGGGCCTGTGGGAACATTTGGCACTCTGAAAAAGTGCCCTGAGCATCACCATAAATGTGCTGCTCTAGCAAGGTGAGTGAGGGGCAGTCACATGAAGTGCCTACCTTGGACAGATGTTTGAATGTGCACCCTCTGTATGTGCTTTTTACTCTGGCTTTTCCCTCCCTCCCTCTCTGTGTGTGTGTGTCTGGGTTTAGCACATGCATTCCCAGATTGACTGATAGACTGACTCCACCCCCCCCCCCTCTGACACACATGCAAATGAATCTGGGGGGAGGGAGATTACCTACAAATTAACTGGAGGGTAATGAAACCACACCACTTGCCAATGAATCTGTTTTCCCCAAAGTCCTTCATGGGGTGGGCTTTTCTGCTCTCCCTACCATTTTTAAGCAAGGAAGGTCCTCTATTCACTTGCAGAGTGGAGGAATAGCTTGGTGAGTACTGCAGCCTGGGCCTCTGGGCACAGTGGTGCTTACAGGCGGTGCACTGGAAGCCCTGGTCAGAGCAAGTCTTGGTGAATTCTTAGGAAGTGAATATAGGAACATAGGAATCTGCCTTATAGCAAGTCATCTCTTTGATTATCTAGTATCGTCAACATTGACAGGGATGGCTCTCCAGGTGATGAGACCAAAGTTTTTCCTGGCCTACCTGGAAGTGCGAGGGATCAAATCTGGGATCCTTTGCATGCAAAGCATGTGTTCTCTCACTGAGCCATGGCTACTGAACTATAGACGGGGTGGGAGAGAGAAGTTCTGAACAGCATTTAGCTTTAATACAGCAGACAAGAGGATATGCTTTGTCTTGTTTTTATCTCTTTGACCACACCCAGCTCTTTGAGAAAAGTGGGTTCAGATAATTGTTGAGGGAGTAATTTGGTGCTATTTTGTCAGTTGCTATTATTCTGCAATGCAATGTGAACTTGAACTTTAAAAAGGAATTAATTTTGGAGGTGGGAGAAATACTAGTTACTTTTACAGTCCTATGTATGGTCTATTCAGAAGGAAGTCCCATTGTATTCAATGGGACATGACGTCTGAAAAATGTACATAGGATTCCATCCACAATTACTTTCATGGGGAAGTTTGCAGCCTGATCACCTTTAAATTTTCTCAGAAATAAGTGATGAGCCTCCTACTCCACTCACTTGAATGCCCCTTAAACCCAAACTATACATGTTTTGTCACATGTGGCTTTTTATCTTTTTGCACAGACTCTTGCTTTTGTGGTAAAGGAAAGGCACTTGGTACTTTCCCTCAGCTATAGTATTGAAAACAGGCTCATTGGCTGATTCCTGTTGAAGTCATGGCACAAATTATGTTCTGAGAAGGAGGAAATCACAGGAGCTTGTATATAAGGAGGGTAAAGGACATTTGCAAAATACTAACAAAACATTTGTTTTGTTTTATTTATTTTCAAAAAGAAGGACCTGAAGGGTAATTTTCTTACAACAGGCTAAGTTGCACTTAATCTTCAGAAAGAAAATGCTAAGATTTTAATTTCTGTGGAACATAGTTCGTCATTATGAAGTGTGTGGGGAGAGGGAGGCTGTAATTGCTCAGTGGTGGCATATGCCCAGAGGCATTCTTTATGTCACTGTAATTTTTGCAATCATTGGTGACTTGTAAATATATTCAAGTCATTTTAAGTGTGTAGGCATTCTGTTGTGGGCTTGTGCCCAGGATATTTAAGTAATATATTGTAAAGGACAAAATTATTAGTTTAAAGGGCAACATTTCTAAAATGCCAGATGGAAGCATACTAAACGGATCTGAGTGAATAATTGATAAAAGAGAGTGAGGAAGTGTAAGGCTGAAAATGGCAGAGATAAACAAGGGTTGTTGTTGCTAGGTTTTCAAGCAAAATTAATGAAAGAGGTTGTTAGCATTGCATATCTATGATGGGCCCAATATTATGCAAATCATGCTAGGCTATGAAGAAGATGTGCTGTAGAAGAAGGCAAGCATACTGCTCAATGGAACAATTACAGGCAGGACAAGGAGAACATAATGACAGCAGTGTGTCAGGATATGTTCGTTGTGAAGAAAGTGGTGGAGAGTTGTTTTTCTTCCTCTCTGATAATTCTAGAAATTAGGATTATCTAATGCAGATGAATAGTAGGAGATTTAGGAGCCATAAAAGGATGGCTTGCTTCATGTAATACAATATGAATGTTATTGTATATATTGTTAACAGTTTGTTCATGTGTTTCTTGAGCAGTGTTTGGATCTTTGGATCACACAAGCATATGACTGCATATATCACATCTTGCTGTGGCAAGAGCAGCAAATTCCTCAGCCCCCTCACAGTCTTGCTAGTGTGACTGCCATTTTTCTTCATCCTTTTTCAGTGTTTCCAACCTGTGCTTCTAAAAACTGAAAAGAACATCAGAGAGTGTCCTGAATGCATTCTTAACCTCCCCACCCCCAGTTCTTTTTCCACACTGAGAAATCCATTGCTATGAAATTCGCATAATCTTTCTTTCTGCTTTACTGCTCTGCCATAAAATTTGTATACGTATTGTAACCCTACTTTCTGTTTTACCTTGAAATTTGCATATATGTACTGATCCCCATCACTGCTAAGCCAAATGTTTATCTGATAGCTAATAAGGGGCCCCACTGGAGGGAAGTACCAAGCATAAAGGGACACAGAAGAGCTGAAAGTGACTGCTAGCTTAGTATTTGCTAGCAAGACAAATGCTGAAGTGGAGGATGAAATTAACAAGTAGGGTCAGGAATGCTCAGCTAAAAAAATGAAGAGGTCGCCCTGTGTTCTGCTGCACTTATGCAAGATCCCATGTCCATAAGCACTAAGCAAATAGTATGCACTTGGAGATCAAATATGGGACAGGGGGACTCTGCTCATTAAAAGCCAGTGTCATGACCTAGGTGTTCCCTCCGAAGCAAGACAGTCTCTCCAGCAGTTCTTGTAAGAGTCTTTATTCTACACAGAACACTCTAAGCATTCACAAGCACAAGGAGAAGTGTTGACACCTCTCTGCCCCCCTTCACCCAAAGTTTTGTTTATGACCACTTTGGAGCCTGTCTCTGGATGGAGGGGCGCTGTGAAACCGGGCACGCCTCTGTTCTGCACTCTGAGTCTCTAATTGGTCCAGGCTGCGACTGTGATGACGGGCTCTTGGGTCCACATCCTTAGGAAGCTCGTGTTCTCCATTTGAGAAATCTCCCCCCTCCCGTCCTTCATCTGCCTCATTCCCACAGGCGGGAGGGAGCCTGGGCCCCATGTGTGTCCTTGAGCTACTTTCACCCAGAACAGGTGCACACCTGTCAGCCACAGCAACAATTCCCATTACCGGAGTGTAAGCTCTGAGCCTGGTCTGGTGTGGTCATCCCCACATCATCCTCAGAGTATGAGCTATCAGTGCCACCAAAACAGGCCAATTCTCGTGCGTGCCCGGGAATCTCGTCAGAGTGCATGCACACGCCAGTCAGGTCCAATGGACCAATTTCAGAAAAGGTGTGGACATAGGGATGAGCAAGGATTTTTGCTTCCCCAGAATATGAACCAGGAGCAGGTGAGAAGTCCAAGGGGAAAACCATCCAGGGAATGCTACAATGGAGTCATTTGTCTGGAATAACATGGGCTATTGAGGGAAAAAACCAGCCCATGGTGGGTGGCTTATTATCAGGGTGGCTCAATGTGACATGGAAACTCATCCAGTTAAATATGTATGATATAGAGAGTTAGAAGATTTCTCACCAATTTAGAAAGGAAGTTTGTAAGTACTGGGCTTGCTCAACAGGATTTGGATTGTTTTCTCAACACGTATACTTAAGGCATTTGTATTGCAGTGTTTGGTAGTGTTAAACTCAATTTGTCAAATGTTTGTAGCCCATTTATAGACATTTGCATGTTGTAGAGTACCTTGAACAATCATCTAAGAACTGGATTTGTTCTTACTATTATTCATTATTCCTTTGTATAATTCAAAAAGTGTTTGCAAAAGATTGTTAAGAATGAAAACATACTGGATATCCATTGGTTTCCTTGAAACAATATTGTACTGAATCACTGGTTGATTGCTGTTTATAATTTTGTATTTTTATTTTAATAGGTTATTATAAGGTGATATATTTCATGATTAAGAATGCATGTACACAATTACACTTTCTGCAGTTTAAACCCAATATTGTACTTTTACTGAAATTAACTTAACAGGACTGTACCTGAAATAGAAAAACTTAATTCAGATGAGCAATCCTATATCTAGTTACAAGGGAGTCCCATTAGCCCTTCAACCCTGTAAGGCTTTCTTATAAATATCATGTTACCAGGAAATAAGACTGGGTCTTATATTAATTTTTGCTCCAAAAGATGTATTAGGGCTTATTTTCAGGTGATGTCTTATTTTTTTCTTACGAAAGCCATAAGATTCTTGCCCCAAGAGTCCTCTATGTTTCCTTTCTTGTACTTGACGGAATAGCTCTTTCTTTTTGCACCCTTCTTGCATTTTGCATCCATGCATTAAGTACATCTGTTACAACACACGACATATTGATGTTATTCTTGCGTTGTATCTGTACTCTGGTCATCCGGCAATAAGTCTCGTGTTCATCTGTTTACCTCTCATCCAAAGGCACCTGCTTTGGTATTTAGAAATACTTAATCATAATGTATATTATCATTTATTTTAAGTATTATTGTCAATAATATTATTTATTTATATTTAATATATATTAACATTATTATTTTATAATTCAGTACGTCTACCGTGTGTTGCAACGGATGTACTGCCGTGTTTTCCCAACCGTCTGGCTGACAATCTTAACTGGGGTTTATTTTGGGGGTAGGGCTTATATTACGAGCATCCTGAAAATCATGCTAAGGCTTATTTTCCGGTTAGGTCTTATTTTCAGGGAAACACAGTAGACACATATAGGTTTGCACAATAAGTGTATAAATATCAGGAGTAAACTACTACTCCTGGTAGTATAATACAGAAGTACTAAGAAAGGATTTGAATGAACTAAATATATATGTGTCTGTCAACATGACTAGACTACAACTTGTTCTTATTGCTAGGAGCATAACAAAGGCCCTGTTGAATCTGACCAATGACCTGCTTAGTCCAGCATTCTGTTCACACAGGGGCAATCCGGCTGCCTCTAGGAAGCAGAAAAGTAGGACATGAATGCAGTTGCACCCTAGATAAGATTTCTTCTAGAGTAGCTTTGTCCAGCCTTGTACTTCCAGATATTTTGGATGGCAAATTTCTGGAGTCCTGACCATCATATATACTGGCTGGTTCTAAATCATCTGGATCCAACCATTTGGAGATGGCTGCTAGAGAATTAAATACACCTAATCATATGTGGCACTCATCTTCACACTCATCTTCACACTTCTTTTTCTCTCACAGAAATCAATTCAGGCAAAGCCAATTTCATCTGGGTTTGTATCTTCTGATACTAACTCTGAAATATTATTTTTCAGTTGCAGATATGGAAAATACAAAAGTGAGGACTGTCAACATTGTGGTCATCATTCTGCTAGTGTTTATTTTGCTCAGTTCTTTGCTCAGCTCTGGATTTACATTCTACAATGCCATTAGTAATCCCTACCAAACTTTTTTGGGTCCTGTTGGGGTCTATGTCTGGAATTCCATATCTTGTAAGTAATATACAATTCAATATAAATATTTTCAAATGTAACAATAATAAATGCCAACAGCAACATTTTGACTGTTTCAGATACTTAACAACTCAAAAGATGAAAAAAAGGCATAGCCTACAGCCAATGGAATTGTGTATTTATATAAGGTGTCAAATCCGAGGAAGAGCCTTTGGATCTTGATAAATGTCAGTTCCCCTGCCCACCTGCCCCCAAATATCTCCTGAACTCCAAAATCATGCCCTTGACAATCACACTAAACAGCTTCCCAAGCAACCATTTCTTGTGCCTAAGTAAGCTGTGTCTAGGTGCATTTTTAAAAGCCCAATAAACTGGAATTAGATCTCATGGAATATCTCCTTCTTATACTATACATACATATTTGTTCAACCTGTATCTTAGATTCTTTTTTGTGAGGGGAAAAATTATCTGTATAAGCTGCTGACTGACATCAGTGGAATACCAAGAACCTGGGTTCCATTCATGAGGATAATCTTAATTTCTGTGGGTCACTAACCAAGCTTCTTGGATGATGTGCAAACTAAAAATGTCCCCAAAGCTCATCCATAATCCTGTCCGAACAACTCCTCTCCATATAGTGGCCATGTGTTCTCTTTTACAGAGGACAGTCTTTATTTGAAGGGCTGACAGACTGCCCGCTGTTTTGAAGTCATGCTCTATTCGAAGGATAGCACAGCCCGAGTCCTGTGTAAAGACAGAGTAGAAAGAGCTGGTCCTTAAAGTTTCCTATCAACAGCATCTGGAAAACAATCTGAGCAAAACACATAGGTCACCAGTTCATAGTGTTCTGTGCTGTGATGTGCTGTATTGTATTTCTTTTAAAATTTGAATAATTAGTTCTAAATTTGCATGCACAGATATATATTTGCTTGTGTAATATTTTGGGCTAACATCTGTTGTCCTCCTTTTTGGTGGTGCACAACTTGATCAATTCACAAGTGGCCAAACTGCCCAGACTATACTGCAGGGTGGTATAAAAATGAAATTCTTCTTCTTCATCATCAGCCTACTTCTGTAGCAATACAATTCCTTTGTAGTGCAGAAGAAGTTTGCTAAGGGTAGATAAGAAAGTGATTGTTCAGAAAAGCTTGTCTAATGTTCCAACCACCTTTTCACAGAAGAAGCCTTAAGTTCTAAGCAACATAACTTGAAAAACAGTGCTCTAAATATCTTCTGTATAGCATTGTGAGAACATTCATGATCTTATTTGATCTGTAAATGAGCTTCTTAGAATGTAAGGCTATTATTTATTTTATTTATTTTTTGATTTATATCCTGCCTTTTTTCTACAAAGGGCTCAAGGCAGCTTACATCTCCTCCTCCAGCTTATCCCCACAACAACAACCCTGTGAGGTAGGTTGGGCTGAGAGTCTGACTGGCCCAAAGTCACCCAGTTGGCTCCATGGCTGAGCGGGGACTAGAACCCAGATCATCTGAGTCCCAGTCCCACACTCTTAACCACTACACCACACTGGCTATTAGAGAGAAGATCCATTAGATTGACTATTGCAGTTAATAGTAACAGTCCAAATGACTTGTGTATGCACATACACATGGAAACTGAGTGCATAGTAAGGGATATTTTCAGTTTTTTCACACTAGCAGTTCCAAAAGGTAAAAGACAAGAAGCTTTTAAATATCAATAGCTCCTTTGGGCTGCAGCCAATATTTCTTAAATGAACTCTGTCTTTTAATCCATGGTATTCAAAAATAATACATGGAAAAATAGCATTATTCTTAAAGAGATGTCAGCTTTATCACTACTTAAACTAAAGAAACATTAATTGTGGGATAGAAACATAGAAACAGAGCAAGTCAGAAGGGGTCATCTAGTCTGACCCCCGGCTCCAGCCAGCTCCACTCCCGACATGTCCACCATGTGCATGTCCAAATTAATGAAAGGTGAAGGTTGTAAATCAACTAGCAACAGAAAAGAAGTTTCTGTACTATTTGCTAGTTTTATGCATTGCAGTAAAATATACACAGTTTCTGTCCAGTTGGTGTCACTCTGCTAGTGCAATGGGTTTTGATGCAGTAGAGGCTTCCATCAGTGAAATGAGGAGGGAGGTGGTTTTAGAGATTCCCCCGCCATACAGCAGCCCACTTACAAATCTGTTTCAGAGTGCTGGATGCCCTGCAGGAGAGTATGGCAGGTGGCATGGGGGCTGCCATGGAGTAGAGGACACCTCCCGCCCCGATTACTGATAGAAGGCTCTCCAAGTTTGGAAAGCCTGTCATCATTGCAGCAACAACAGCTGGGTATAAGCCAATGAAGTCAGCAGTTGTTTAAGTAAACAACCAAGAAAATGCCAATGCAGGGGAGATATTTCTCTTAACAAGGTGCAACAGAGTCATATTTCACCTCCAAAATGTAAGCTTCCGCTTTTACCAGGGGATTGTACTTCTGTACCTACACCAAGGACGCAGTCTGACAGTTGACCCCAAGTGCTGTTTGGGCACTGCTTGACAGCTGTCATCCTGATCCCCCTCAGCAGTCCCACAGTGTCTCTGAGATACCAGGGTGCCTCAGAACCCATGCTGTGCTTGACCTTTGAGAGCAAAGAAGCCACTCTGGGTAGCTTTCTATACAGCATGGCTTGTTGTGTTGTACAAACCCAGCCATTGTGTTTGCAGTCTGCTAAGCCTGTCCTAATTCTTATTTGTATGATTGCTTTGAACTCCATGCTAGCCCCAGTAGTCAGTGATAGAAAGAAGACTTATCTGCCTTGCACAATTTCACCAATTAAATAATCTACCCTCACATCAAATCCATTGTTCATCCTACTGGGAAAAATATAGACATAAAATGGATGCCCTCTAGGAAGTAATCCAACTTGTGGAAATAGCACAGAGGAAAGGATTAACCCCACATATGCACACTGTTGATCCAATCAAAATCAGACCCCTTAAAAACTGCTTAAAACAAAGAAAAACTTTTAAAAAGTGGGTAAGGATATATGATTATAACTCTCTTATGTCATGCATAAAACATAGCCTTTTTCTGCTTGCATAAAAGTGATAATTCCTATGTCCTGATTTCCAGTGGCTGATCTGTTGTTAATGCTTGGTGACATTTTAATTGATCCCAATAAAGATCTAAAGTATTGTGGCTTTTGGATGTTTAATGGACTGGCATAGCCACCTATTACCTTAGATCTGTGATAATTTTACCGTACAAGTATGCTGTCATAGGGTTAGGGTTGGGATTATCCTGTTTTAAGCATAGTCAAATGACCGATTTGGAAATTTAAAAGAATGGGAGATTTCCTTAGCCTTCAAAAAGATTGCATGAGAACTGATACTGCAAAAGTATGGCATAATTTTGCTGAGTGAAAGAAATGGCAATACACTACGGGTGTATTGGGGGAAGTATTTTTCCAGATATATCAGAAAGTTGTGATATGTAAGACTTTTAAGATGAACTCCATCAAACATTCCCCTGGAGGTATAACCCTTCATTCTGATATTAGGCTTACATCTGCTTTCTTTTGATGTGCTTTGCTTGCCTTTTGATCCTGCCACTGAAATAACTCCAGTTCTTACACTAAATAAGTCTCTAGAGGCTCCTGCTTTTTCTAACAGCAAGATTGGGACTAAAAGAATTTATTCAAGGGTGGAGGAACCATATTACAAAATGCATCAGTGCTCAATTGATGCCGCACAGCTTCTCTGCTGAATTGTGGGCCACTTACGAACTTCTAAAAGAAGAGGAAACACATCACTAAAAAGAAGATAGATATTTGCATAATGTTTGCACATGTTGCCACACAGATATAGAAACTATTCTTATACCTGAAATAGCATTTCAGTTATAAGAAACAAGGCTGTGTGTCTGCCTGAACAGCGTACAGTTCAGGGTCTAACTGTTGATGGGAAAATGTTCTTATGGCTCCTTATTTTTAACCTGGCTTGGACTGGACAGGCCTTCAAACTGAGGATGGAAATCTGGCAGCCCTTCCAATAAGGTACTGTCCTTTGTACAGATGTTTCAATATAAAGGCCTCTTTCTGCTGAGTTTCCCTTTCGTTCTTGGTGCTTCTTTTTGGAAGTGATTTGATGCCCTCTGTGATACCGGGTTGTATCCTCCAATGTTATTCAGAACAGATGTGCCTGATACCTATGCTATATCCTGTTTTTAGCGAAGAACATTTTAGGGCACAATTCTACACATGTGTAGAAGGAAAAAAAAGTCTTGCACCTCCCAGCATCCCCTGGCCATCATGGCTGGTTGGAGAATGCTGGGAATTGTCCTCCTGACATCCCTGCATTTGGCCAAAGATCTGAAAAGAGCTATGCACAGAAAACAGTATTTATGTAGTCTCTGCGTGCATGACCAGAGTGCTTGCCTTTGTTTAGGATTCCTGATTACACAGAGATCTTATGCATGTCCAAGTGTAGTCTATATATGCACTGGGTGGGAATGATGGGTATTAAGGTCCAGTGGACCTGGTAAGCACAAAACTGGGAATGGCTGCTTTTTGCATAACTTTAACATCAGTATCACCTCATTTGTTCAATATATTTGGAATCAGAACACTACACTAAACTACTTAGCCTACCATTTCATCTCTGTTGCTTTCTTGAGAGGCAGAGACCCTTGTCTGGGCCAGACTGAGAAGTGCATGAACAAACAGGAGGCAGTGGCAAGGAGGACATGTGACTCCAAGAGGGTCCTGACAGCAGGCCTCTGACAGGGGTGTGGGCTTTTGTCAGGAACCCAACCATTCCTAAACTTTAGCCTCCTGTCCCTCAAAATTCAAGCCCTGCATTTTCCTCTTACCCCACTACCAACCCACGTCAGAATATTTAGTTGAACTGACTATAGAAGAACTATCCATGTATTTTCACTGTCCCCAGATTATACCTTATAGTATCTAAATAATATTTGTTTTCCTACTTTTCAGGCATCTGCTCTCTTCTGGCTTTGATACTGTTTGCTGTGAATGTCGAAGTGAATGACCTCTCCTTTGAGCTGACTGTCCAACACTGCAGTTGGTTAGAAGGCTACACAAAAAGCATACAGACCAATGCCTATGGGTATTCATATTGGATCATTTTCCTTATAGTCTTTTTCGCTGCTGCAACTGTTATAATCATGGTTTTTTACCAACATGCAAGGTATTCAAAAAGGAAAGAACAAGAGAAACCTATAGAAAATGCACCCAAAGATGGCATTTTATTTTAGTGGGATCATTTCCTTCATGTCAATGCCTGAATGTGCAATCTAACCATCAATTACATCACATATGGAAGGCCTATTGACATTTTTATGTCCAAAGTGTGAATCATTTTATGTATGGCTACTACCTAAATTGGAAGGGGGCACATTTGTGTCTTTCCAGTTATTGTTTGACTCAACCCCCACATCAGCTCTAGGGTGAAGGAATTATCATCCTAGATTTTGGGAGCTGGAGTCCAACAACATCTGGAAACCACAGGTTTTCCACACTTGACCTAAATGAATAAAATAGAAGAACAATATAGTATAGACAACTGGGACAGATTAAAGAAATTCATATTTTCTCTTTTGGTAGGTATTTATTATTGATAATTTATTTCTGAAGCCTTTTACAAATGCATTTTTCAACTCAGATGTGTACAATTTGTGAGTCATAGAGTGCCAGCTGAAGCATCCAGTCTGGGGTCAAATTCACTATTATTCAAGATGCATGGTGAATAGTATTGCTTCCTATGAATGCAGGTTTTCCAGGACAGCAGGCTTGGGAAAAAATTAACAACCTTTTCTTCTGTTGGGAAGAAAATGCTAGGAGAGGAGAAGGTGCTATAATGGGATTATGGCCAGCAGGGAGAAGGTTGAGCAATCTACTTCTCGCATCCCATTCCTACCCCTCACTACAAGAAAAATTGCCCCACATAAAGTTAATAAACATGGCCATTGAAATGTTGTTAGATGTGTTGCACGTAATGCACAGCTAAGGATGGCTTCTGGAAAGGATTAGACAGACCCATAGAGGAAGGAGCAGAATCTCAGACCTAGGATCCGAATGCAGCCCTTCCATCTATCTATGCCTAAGGGTTCTCCAGATAGCTACACTCCCCTTCCCTGGCCCCACTCTCTTTCCCCTGACAAGGCCTTGATTGTTGTATGGTTCCCTGGCTTTTGTGCAGTCTCCCCTGCACCCCATTCAAAAAGGTTGAAATACTGCTTCTAAGGCTTACTCACTGGCGATAAATGCTTTAAGCTGCAGTATACCTCTGGAAGGTTACAGGCATCATATGAAAACCATGGATTGCCGTCTTGTGTGTGCACTGCATTTGTGTTCAGAATATGTGAGTATATATTTTCCTATTTTGGTCCTTGGCCTGGCCCTCCAGTCTGCCTCTGAGATGGACTTTAGCCATCAGGCTGAAAGAGATTCCAGACTTCTGCCACAGAGGATAGCTCTTATCAGTGCCCATGGCAGCCATACAGAAGCACCATGTCCAGAGCTATATACTTCTGCATACAGATACAGGACACAAGCCATGTGGGAGAGCCATTGCCTTCATGCCCTGCTTGTGAGTTTCCTGGAATATTTGGAGGACTACTGCTGCAAACAGAATGCTATTAGTGGTGGAGCTTTGGCCTGATCTAGAGCAGTTGCCCCAGGGAAGATTCAGACCTGGCAAGAGCATGGAATGATTGGCCTGGGCAATGTGCTCACCTCTCCCCTGCCCACCTTTGCTATAATCAGACTCATCTGTAACTCAGGACTTGTGCTGGCTTGGATTTCATTCTCCAATCACAGATGAAATTTCCAAGTGCACAACATGAACACAACTCCTAGACGAGCCAAATGGCAGAAGAAAAGAAGGTGTGTAGGGCAAACACTGCCCTGGTGGATCATAGCTTTCTTCTCTAGCCATCTCTCTTTCCTTTCACCTTCTGCATTGGCTTCCAACAAGTACAGTACAGGCATAAGCCCAGCCAGAGAAGAATGAAGTGGTAGCCCACAGGGAAAGGAGAGAAAACACTGAAAATTCCCTCTGCTCTGCTCCCAGCTTTTGTCCAGTCCACAGTTCATCTGGGTAAAAAACAGAAAGGTGGCAGTCCTACTGCTGCTTTTGAGATTAATACATTGGCCATCCTGAAGGTTTGCAGCAAAGGTAGGCCATGGATACAGCTGGCAACTTTTTTTTTTTTTGCACATTTTTTATTAAGATTTTAAACTAAAAAATGATCAGTCATCAAATACATCGGACGTACTGGGTCAGCCCCCTATAACATATCTTTTAAACATTCTATAATCATATTCAAATCGATTTATAAAAATTTAAAGACATCTTTAAATCTAAGCCAAATCCCGTTTCTCCAGCCAATCGTAGAAAAGGGCCCAAGTTTGATAGAAGTCAGTATCTTCCTTCTCCTTCAATAATAGAGTCAATCTGTCCCTTTCTGCAGAATCCAGAATCTTTTTTAAAATCAGTTCCTCAGTGGGTAGTTCCTCACTCTTCCAGTATTGAGCTAGTGCAATCCTCGCCGCTGTGATTAAATGTAGTATCAAATACATTTCTTGTTTGCTAATATTTTCTGGTACAATGCCTAACAAGAAAATTTCAGGTTTAAAAGCTAAGGGTTTTTGTAGCATTTCCTCAAGCCATTTATGTATTTTAATCCAATACTTTTTCACATATTCACAAGTCCACCACATATGGTAAAAAGTACCCACATCATGTTTACATTTCCAACATCTGTTTGACATATTTGTAAACATCTTATCTAATCGATTTGGTGACAAATACCATCTATAAAACATTTTATATAAATTTTCTTTATATGAGGTTGCTAAAGTTACCTTAATATTTCTCTCCCATAGCTTTTGCCACTTTTCTAATTCAATATTATATCCAAAATTTTGTGCCCATATTATCATAGTTTCCTTAACCTGTTCCCCTTCCATTTTCTTGTCAAGTACGAACTCATAAATTCTTATAATCATTTTCTCATCTGTTTTTAACATCACTTCATCAAAGGCTGTTAGGTCTTTATAAAACCCCCATATTTTACAATCTTTAGCATATCTTGATTGCATCTGCACCTTATACCACCAAGAGACATTGAGTCCCTGTTCTTGTATTTCTTGATCTAGTTTCAAGCCTCCATCCTTATCCAAAATATCATCATATCTTATGATCCCTTCAAAATTCAATACATTTGGATACACAAAAGCTTCCATAGGTGAAAGCCATCTTGGTAACTTATTATACAATTTTGACTTTAACTTTTCCCACGCTGACATTAATGATCTTCTAATAAAGTGACTTTAAAAAGTCCCATGAGACTTAACCTTCTCGTACCACATATAAGCCTGCCAACCCATCTGCAAATCATGTCCTTCAAGATACAAAATTCTCTGATTTCGCAAGGTTATCCATTCTTTTAGCCGAGTTAAAATAGACGCTGGATAGTACAACATCCAATCCGGTAACCCAAAACCCCCATTCTTTTTGGTTTCCTGAAGCATTTTCAGTTTAATCCTTGCTTTCTTTTTTCTCCAAATAAATCTCGAAATTTGAAAATTTACATCTTCAAAATGTTTTTTATCAATTTTCACGGGGATCATTTGGAACGAAAGCAAAAGTTTTGGCAGCGTGTTCCTTGTAACCAGTGCAACTCTTCCCACCAGAGACAGTTGCAAATTGGCCCATCCTTCCAGGTCACCTTTAATACCCTTCAATAATGTATCGTAATCGTCTGCTTTCAAAGTTGTGCATTTAGCTGTAGGATAGATTCCCAAGTATTTAACGTTTTTAACAATGTGCAAGTATACTTGTTCTTGGAGTCTTTTTTTCTGATCTTGCGTAAGATTTTTAACTAATAGTTTTGTTTTCTCTTTATTTTTATCCCCGTAACCTCACCATATTCTTCAATCCATTATAAAAGTTTAGGGATTGTTACAAAAGGTTCCTCTATTATAAAGACCAAATCATCTGCGAATGCTTGCAATTTATACTTTTTCATCCCTAATTTTAGTACCTTTAATGTCCCCGTCATCCCTAATATTTCTATTCAAGACCTCTAAAGTCAGGATGAACAGCAGGGGTGACAGCGGGCATCCCTGCCTTGTACCCTTTTGTATCTCTATAGCCCTTGTACATTCTCCATTAATTAAAATCCTGGCCGACTGTCTTTGATAGATGCTTGATATCGCATTCATAAATTTTCCCCCAAACTCCATTTGGTCCATCTGTTGCATCATGAATTGCCAATTAACATTATCAAAGGCTTTCTGGGCATCTAAGAACAGTACAGCCATTTATTTTTCTGTGTGTGACATAGGCTTTAGCTGCATCCCAGACATTCTGTAAAGAAGTTTCTTCCGCTTTGTTTATTTGGAAAAATATTTGCATCTCTTTGCTTATGTCTTCTATAAATTTTTTATCTTTTAGTAACGCTTTATCTAGACTCCATCTGGGCATCCTTGCAGCTCCTTTCAATGATATAAATACAGGATTATGATCCACCCAGACATTTGTCTCCATTTCAGCTTCTGTCAGATCTGGCACTAAGTCTGGAGTTATCCAAACCATATCACTTCTAGACCATGACCTATGTCTGTTTGAGTAAAAAGAATAATTGGCCGAAGATGGGTTTTTATGCCTCCAGGCATCTCTCAATCTGAATTCTTCAATCAAGTTGGAACAAGACTTTGGAAGCATCCTCCTACCCCTTTTTCCCTTACTTTCACTCTTGTAATCGATTCCCTTATTCACAATTGCATTAAAATCACCCATTACACACACAGACTGATAGTCCACTTGTAAAAGTAACATATGTAGTTTTTGGTAAAAAGTTTTCTGATGGTGTTTGGTGCATATATTGCCACTAAGAGCACCTTTTAAAGTTTAATTGTAATTTCTACCATCAAGATCCTACCACCCTCATCAGCAAGAATATATTTAGGGTCCAATTTTTCTTTAACATACAGTGCTAAACCTCTTTTCTTTTGCGATGCAGAAGATACGAACAACTTTCCCAGTTTTGAACATTCCAAAAGTTTAACATATTGTTTCTTAATATGTGTTTCTTGTAGACAAATTATATCTAATTTTTGTTTTTGAAGTAGAGCAAAAATCCTTCTTCTCTTAGATGGCCCATTTAGTCCATTAACATTTAAAGAGAGCAATTCAATTTTCCCTTCCTTTTTAAGAGCCATATTTAATAAAATTATTTACTTATTCGTTGCCTTTACAGTTCTACCTTTTTTTCTCCTTTGAGCACAGAGTCTGTACTTCTTGTT